GTATATATATATATATACACACACACACACACACATATATATCTCAATAATTATATATATTTAATCAGTATCAGTCTACGTGTAATTTGATAATACATATATATAAAATCTAAGTATATATATATATATATATATATATATATTTTATTATTTTTTTTACACTTTTTAAATTTATTTGATTTTATTTCCAGCGAACAGGGGGACCACCTGTCATTACAGGCAGCCGCCCTGCTGGCAATGCTGCAGCCAGCTACCCCCGGCCATGTGATTGTGGGGTCCTCACTCTCACGTGGCCGGGGGGGCTTCCAGGGGGTCGGACGTGCCACAGGGGGGTTCCCTGGGAGTCCCCCCAACCGCGATCGCCGGTGTGGGATCGCCGGCGACCAGGTAAGAAGGAAAAGACCGGAGGGGTTTAGAGCCGCTTAGAATAGGGCGTAATAGTACGCCCTCCGGTCTTAAGGGGTTAATCAGTGAGGAACAGACAGATTAACAGATTTCCCTCCTGTGTGAATACAGACAGTAAAAATTAGCAGATAGAGCGACAGATTTGTAAATTACAAAATGGCAGCCTAACATCCCAGAGAAATTAAACAATTCAAACATTAAAGGGATTCTCCAGTGCCAGGAAAACAAACCCGTTTTCCTGGCACTAGAGAATCCTGGAGTGTATACCCTTCCTCCCACCTTCCACCCCTCGGTGCTGAAGGGGTTAAAACCCCTTTAGCTCCTTAACTGAATCCAGTGCCGATGTTCCTTGCCGATGTCAGCCGGCAGGAGAGACCTAATGCGCATGCGCGGCAATGGCTGCACGCACATTAGACTTCCCCATAGGAAAGCATTATTAAAATCCGACGCTGGAGGTCCGTGAGGACGTCCAGTGTCAGATAATGGACCAAAAGTCAGTTTGGATTCTGGAATATTTTATTTAGTTTTGTAAAATGCTTCCAAAATTAAACAGAATAACAAAATAACAATAATAAACAATCAACTGAAATAATACCCAATTCAAACATAATACCAAATGAAACAAATACCCCAAAATTAAACATAAATACCGAAATAAAAACTCAGCCAATTAGCTGAAGTGGTCTGGGTGGCTACAGTGTCCCTTTAACTAAATAACTGCTGGGCAACTGATGAGGCACATTTAAATCACAGCACAAAGTCAGCACTAACTTCACCTGGATTTGACAGCGACACACAGGAACCACACAAAAATAAATCGCAAAAGGAACACGTGTAACCGTCAACAAACATTGAAATACCAAAAGCAACGCATGTAACTGTCAACAAACATTGAAAACAGCGTTTTATATGCTCTGACTTTTAACAATATGTCACCACACAGGAGCTCAGAGCAGAGAGTAACCGTATACAGAGGGATCATACTGGGGGTTATTCAATAATCAGGGAATTACAGAGATCTGTAAATTCTCCACAGTTCCTGGCTCCGTGTATAAACTCACATTGTCAGTTTGTTACAGAATGTTTTAATAACTGTGTGCGCCAGGACTGCGTCCAGTCAGACAGAGAATTCACTGATTACAGACGTTTAGTAGATTTTTTTAGTGTCTCTACAGACAATGCAGTCACTGTTTCCTCGTCTGTTGCCGAGGTCAATTAGCGCAAAACTACTGTCAGAAAAAATACTAAAATAACCCTCCGTTACCTGCACAGGAAGCGCCCGAGCCATCATTAGCGTCAGCCCCAGAGCCGCAGTGTGCAGCAGCTTTATAGACAGCAGGAAGTCACTGGGTTCTGTTCATTTCCCTCGGTATAAATGCATTTCTGTTTTTTTTTTTTTGTCAGAATTCCCCGCAGGTGCAGTAAGAGGGGTTATTAGAAAATCTAAGGGTGTAGCCAGGATTTAAAGCACAGCTTCCCCTACAGCCAGCAAACTAACTATCCAGGTAAGGGGAACCTCAAACCATGGCAGCCAATCGTCTCTCTCCCTGCAGCGCAGCTCACAGCGTGGGTTCTGAATTAACCTCTTCACACCAACAGCGTTATTCAATAACGGGTGAATTGAAGGAATTTCTCAGTTATAGTCAGATAACCAGAAACATTCTGTCAGTTGTAGCCTCAGTTCAGATATTTTGTCCTGATTTAGGAAATCTTGTGGAATTACCAACAAATCACAGTTTAGTAAATCACCCTGGTAGAGTTACGCACATCCTGATCTATCAATCCAGCTATGACACGCTAACAATGCATTGTGTAGCCTCTGGCACTCACAGAGTTAAACCAGGAGTCTGATTAATATGAAGAATTAAACACAGAGCTTAATTAATGATAATTTATATAATACGGACTTTATAAAGTGCTGAATAAAGCCAAGACCTCACAGCCCATTGCAGCCAGCACTGCCATCAGAAATTTTGGGCCCCCTGACACAGCTCAAGATCTGGGCCCAACCCTGAATCTGCTTACAGGTATGCAGTGTGTTTGTGTAGAGTGAATTCAGAGTGTGTGTTCATAGCATGTGTGTATAGTTAATGCAGGGTGTGTTTGTGTAGGGATGTAGTGTGTATAATGAATGCAGTGTGTGTGTATAATGAATGCATAGTGTGTATTTGTGTGTGTATAACAAATGCAAAGTGTAGTGTGTAAAGTGCAGAGTGTTTGTGTGTGTGTGTGTGTGTACAGTGTCAAACATAGTGTGTGTATTTGTGTATATAATGAATGCATAGTGTGTGTTTGTGTAGGGATGCAGTGTATGTAAAATTGGAGCTGCAGTTAGTGGGGGAGAGCCCTCACTCACACCTGTTAAACATTTTATTACCCTCTCTTTGTCCCTCCGGGAGGTATAACCACCTAGCAAAGCTAGTGGGTATGTGGCAGTCTCCCAGAGAAATATTTTGCAGGGCTAAAAACGCTCCTGCACAGCAACAGCGTTTCTAGACAATCAGGTGATCAGAACAGGCGTGCAGCCGGCGATCCCGGTCCGAGACCCCAGCAGTCCCCCTGCTGCAGCTCTGTCCTTTCTGGCCCTCCATGATCACATGGCCGCAATGGAAGTCTATGGAGCTGCCAGCAGGGGGACTGTCAGGCAGTCACCCAGGCACCTAAAATGTAAAAATATATTAAAAAAAAAAATATATATAAATATATATATATATATATATATATATATATATATATACATTTATATATATATTACAGAATAGTTAAACATTTTTATATGTTATACATATATATGATGGCATTATAAGTGCACTTTGAGAGATATATACGTACGAGGCAGGGGCGTTATGATAGAAACATTTAAATACATAAAGGGAATTAACACAGTAAAGGAGGAGACTATATTTAAAAGAAGACACACTACCACAACAAGAGGACATAGTCTTAAATTAGAGGGACAAAGGTTTAAAAATAATATCAGGAAGTATTACTTTACTGAGAGGGTAGTGGATGCATGGAATAGCCTTCCAGCTGAAGTGGTAGAGGTTAACACAGTAAAGGAGTTTAAGCATGCGTGGGATAGGCATAAGGCTATCCTAACTATAAGATAAGGCCAGGGACTAATGAAAGTATTTAGAAAATTGGGCAGACTAGATGGGCCGAATGTTTCTTATTAGACATGTGCAATTCGTTTTGTTCCGAATTTGAATTTGGACGAATTTCGGGTAATTTGGACATTCGGATGCTTCCAAATAGCCGAAGTACAGACTTGCCAAAGTGCTAATAATGTGGATTCCAGGCTTATCTTGAGCTCCCCTGCAATATGCAAACATTATATGCCCAGGAAAGCACAGTGGATCTGGTCAAACAGGAATATATATCAATAATACATAGCAATAAAATATTTTGTTTTAGTGATTATTTCTAATATCATTATTCATTGCACTTTGATTCCCGATTTACATTATTTTGTGTATTTAAAAACTTTCCAAGGTTTAACTTATTACACTTTGGTGGATATTCATTTACTGCTGGGAAGGGATGATAGATAATATAATGTGTATGTATTACTGATTGCACAGTCAGCATAATGGCCATTATAAATCTCTTATCTCCTCCTACTTTCACTTTCTAATCCTGGGGAGCAATTAGTGAAAGTCATTTAATTCCAAACACTCACACCGCGTAATGCCTGGCAGTAATTTAAAAGAAAGGTTAAGACAGTCTACTCGTTGGCACAGTTACCTAACAGAATGCACTATTTACAATGACATTCCCGTAAGATAATGACATGTAGACTGTCTTAACCCTCCTTTGTCCTCAGCCAATTGTATCTACAGGTAAATTAACACGAGAAAGGACTAATCGTGCCCTTTTAATCCTCTGCGATTACAAAGAGAGCTCTTAAGGCTGTCTCTTTACAAACTATTAGACAGACACCTGGGGAGTTCACATAACAAAAACATTTTATTTCAATTCTAATGTTTGTATTATCTAGATAATACGTGATCCTGAAATTACTTCTGCCATAAAGGGACTAGAAACGGCATTCATTTTAATGTCATTTTCCCATTCCCAGTCTAATTATATTTCTACGGGGGTTGTGGTATTTCAGGGAGGTATGTCATCTTTGCATTGAAATAATCGCCCTTTTAATTTAAACACATATTATTGCAGTTGAAACAAGGTGTCACACAGGCCTGTACCCAGTGGAAGAATGAAGAATGTTACACTGTATACCAGTTTAAATGATAAGTGTACACAAGCATTGTTCATATAAAATGTTGCCTCCTGGATAATTAGACTAATTTTAAACATTAGCACTTAAAGTTACTTAGCCAGTCAATGGATGGGAATGAGGTTTAAAGAGAGAGACAGAGAGAGCAAACTAGGGAAATAAGTAGCATTGGAGTAAAAAAAAAGAGGCATTGGAAGAGAGTGAGAGTGAATGAAAGCATGATGGAGAGAGTGAATGAAAACATGATAGAGTAAGAATTAAAGAATGATAGAGAGTGAATGGAACCATAATAGAGAAAGTGAATGGAACCATAATAGAGAGTGTGAATGAAAACATGATAGAGAGTGTGAATGAAAGCATGATGGAGAGAGTAAATGAAAGCATGATGGAGAGAGTAAATAAAAGCATGATGGAGAGAGTAAATAAAAGCATGATGGAGAGAGTGGATGAAACCATTTTAGAGAGAGTAAATAAAAGCATGATGGAGAGAGTGAATGAAAGCATGATGGAGAGAGTAAATGAAAGCATGATGGAGAGAGTAAATGAAAGCATGATGGAGAGAGTAAATGAAAGCATGATGGAGAGAGTGAATGAAAGCATGATGGAGAGAGTGAATGAAAGCATGATGGAGAGAGTAAATAAAAGCATGATGGAGAGAGTAAATGAAAGCATGATGGAGAGAGTGAATGAAAGCATGATGGAGAGAGTGAATGAAAGCATGATGGAGAGAGTGAATGAAAGCATGATGGAGAGAGTGAATGAAAGCATGATGGAGAGAGTGAATGAAAGCATGATGGAGAGAGTAAATGAAAGCATGATGGAGAGAGTGAATGAAAGCATGATGGAGAGAGTGAATGAAAGCACGATGGAGAGAGTGAATGAAAGCACGATGGAGAGAGTAAATGAAAGCACGATGGAGAGAGTGAATGAAAGCACGATGGAGAGAGTGAATGAAAGCACGATGGAGAGAGTGAATGAAAGCACGATGGAGAGAGTGAATGAAAGCACGATGGAGAGAGTGAATGAAAGCACGATGGAGAGAGGGATTTAAGCATTATAGAGTGAATGAAACCATGATGGAGAGAGTGAATGAAAAGAGGCTGTATGTGCCAGTACAGGCAGTTCTGCTTGACCTCAAAATGAAGTGTCGTCTCGTTATTGGGGAAATTGGATTGTATGTTACCCCATATTTGTGCGGTTACTATTATGGGAAACACCATGAAAAGAGCTGAAGTTAAAAGATAAAAGTTATCTAGAATGGCAGTTTCTGGTGGCCATGTAGCTTGTACCCAATCGTCACTGTATACAGGTGCATAACCCATGGCTCCTGCTGCGTCAGTCCATATTACTGGGGAGTCATCCATTATGAGTGGGACAAATAATGAACCGCTGTTCCATGAGGACAGAAAGAGGCCACATTTTAAGTCAGCCTTATCTGGATCGTCTAAATAAATCTGGAGTTATCACCTGGCAGTGCGTGTAGCAGTGCAAGTAGTCTAGAGATAAAGGCCCTGCCTTGAGGAAGGATCCTTCTAGCAATGCTGAGAACCTAACCGTGATTGTAATTCCTTTCTAATGCCAGGCCCACAAGTGCTGCAGGAATTGATGTATGTCAGAATTCTGTTCTATTTCCTGAGGCAGGTAAGCTTAGATGGATTCAAAATTTAGTGTAATACCCAGGAAAGTTATCTCCGTATTGGGACTTTGTGTTTTGTCTGCAGACTGCAGCTACCAGAATTCCTAATTCCTTGAAAAAGAGTGTCTAGTAGACTGGTTGGTGTGGAGTAGTGAGGCTTAATTTAAGGAAATCGTCAAGGTAGTGTTTCACCACTGGACACCTGTGTTTGTTAAGTAAGAGTTTAGAAATGGATATTTTCGGGGCGTGTCTTGGCCACCATCTTAGATGGCCACGTTATAGAGGGGCTCCTGGACAAGGGGGACAATTTTGTGCCAAAAGTACCAATTTTAATTGAAGATACAAGAAGCAATCTCAGCACTGATCATACAGAAACAAAAGAAAAATGAAAAATCTGTTCCTGGGACGAAGAAAATGGAAGCAGGAGCGGCTGGGGTGAGTAAGGGTTCCCAGGTTCGCTCCCCTGCTTCCAGATCCGGCTCGCGGCTTGTTTCGCCGCTTAAACTTTCGTTGGTGGTGTCGGGGAAATCCCTCCCTACCTCCCGCCCGGTCTCCCTTCCCAAAACTTATGCTTGTGCGGCCGCGACCCGTCCGCAGCTTCCTGAGGGCGGCGGGACCGCGATCGCACTAGCCGGCACTCCTGTGTGCGGCTCAGAGTGTTCCGAGCACTCGGCATGCGACCTATAATCCTAATATGCCACCTGAATTGGCAGAAGACCTGCCACCTTCAGCTGGTATGATAATTCAACTTATTAAGGATTTGACTTTGACACATTATATGGAGCCATGGAGGGCATTAATCAGCGTACGGAAATAATAGAGAATAGATTGCACTCTCAAGAGCAATCTCACCTGGATCTGGTTGAAACCGTAAAAGAGCTCCAACAAGCAGAAAAGCTTGCCGACGCTGAGGATAGAAGTAGGCGTAATAACCTAAGGATCAGGGGGATACCTGATAATATCGATTCCCAGGAATTACAAAACTATTTCCAGACAATGGTGAAGTCAGCTCTACCAAACGTAAAAAATACGGATTTATTACTGGATCGCATCCATAGATTGCCCAAACCCGGCAATGCACCTCCAGCTGCACTCAATGACATGATAGTGAGATTCCACTACTACCACATTAAAAAGGAATTTCTAGGTGCAGTACGCACGTCAGGTCTCACAGGAGATTACAGCAGCATGAAGGTCTTTCAAGACTTTTCTGCTCAAACAATGAAGCGACGCAGGGAATTTCAACTTTTCACTGCTGAGTTAAGACGAAGAGGGATAAGATATAGATGGGGATTCCCGGTTAAAGTCCTTTTCCGTATGGATGGTCGGAATTTTATAGTCCCGTCGCCTGAAGAAGGAATGGAACTCATCAATAATATGAATAGACGTCAGGTTTCGCCTCATAGACTCTCGCCATCTACTCCTGTGCAGGCCAGCAAGAGAAGCAAATCGGACACTTCCTGAGATCCCAGCTCAAAGAGACATAGTCTTCCTTTTCTACGGTCATCATCGAGTCCTGCTCCAGTCCGGCGATTTATCGGGATTACTTTGAATTTTGATTTGTTTCTCCTTTTTATGACAGACTTCTGAGTTCTTCCACCAATGGTTATTGGACCTGTGCCTTTTTGGTTTATTTTAGAAACCAATCCTTTTATTTAAAACTTTCTAAACTTATACAATCAAAATAGTTTTTTTTTTTTTAATATAATTTCACATTTATTTAATTTTATTATTTTTTTATTGTTCTGTGCTTTTTACCCTTTCAATTGTCATACTTAAAAAGTTGCTTTTTGTTTTTTACTATTTATATTGGCTCCCCCTGCACCCAGTAGCCTTCTCTCCCCCCAACCTGGGCCTAACACCCTGAGATGGAGAAACTTTTTTTGTTCTCCCTCATGGCCCTCTTTCACTGTTTTTGTTTCACCCCTGATAGGGGTATATACCCAAGTTTTTTTGTTCCCCTTTTTTATTTTTTTGTCCATTCATTAAAGCTCAGTAGAAATGTTTTTAGACCACGAAACACTGCAATGCTTCATACAAAAATGCATAATACGTGGCATCAGCAAATTGTAAACATCTGTTTACTCATTATTCCTGTACACACAAGTACACAGCTTGAGTTTGCTTTAATAGCTTTGTTGGACTTGCATGTTTCTCTCTTGGAAGGTGGTGGCTGGGACTCTCACAAGATTGAATGTTCTTTTACCCTTTATCAGGTATTACTGTTCTATAAACCATGGTTTTAAAATATATGTCATTTAATGTGAGAGGCCTGAACACCGCCCACAAGAGACGATTATTATTCAAAGAAGCAAAATCCAACGAATCAGATGTGCTTTGTGTACAGGAAACACATTTTAAAGATGATAAAGACCATAAAATTATGTCAAAGCTTTTCCCAGTCCAATACCATTGCACTTATAAATCCAAATCTAGAGGTACATCGATTTTCTTTCACAGGAATGTAGCATGTTTGACAAACAAAGTTATGACGGGAGGTATTTAATATGGATAGGATCACTCAATACTATTGAATATACTATTGTGAACATGTATTTTCCAAACACCGGTCGGTTAGTTTTTTAGGAAATTGATGGACTTAGTGAATGAGAATGTGAGAGGCAGCTTGGTAATGTGTGGCAACATGAATTGTCATGGATGGAGAATTGGATAATGCTAGGGAAGAACGTGATCAACAGCATAGAGGGGACAGTGACAGATTAGCGTATAAATGCTCCAGATATTTGATTGAATGTGGCTTATACGATCCTTGGAGACTGTTGCATGAGAATGAAAGAGATTTTACGTATTATTCTGTCTCTAAAAATATGTATTCCAGGCTGGACAGGTTTATGGTCCAGGGAGCTTTAATTCCGCACATCTTGAAATCTGATATCTTAAACATCAACTGGTCCGACCATGCTCCAATCATAATGCATATTGACGAAATTGTTTCATCAGCCCCTAACAGAACCTGTAAATTAGGTGATTATTTGTTAAACGATGTTGTGAACAGGTCACTGACGGAGAAAGCTTTGTGTGATAATTTTTCGGAGAATGCCTCGCCCGAGGTTCCTGACGAGATGACTTGTAATGCGCATAAGGCTATGTTAAGAGGTCATTTTATTTCTAGAGCGTCTTATCTGAAGAGAATTAATAGCAATAATTTAAGAACATTGGAAAAAGAACTGTACAATTTGAACCAGGCTAATAAATTTGGTCCATCGCCCTCCCTATCAGCAATGATAGGAGAAATTAAGGCTAAAATTAACCAAATTAATTTAGATCGTACATCTCTCATGGTGAGACGTCTCAGGAAAACATTTTACTTAAAAGGCAACAGGGCCTCAACTTTTGGCATCCAAACTCCGGCATGTGAATGCCCAATCAAAAATAGCATATATACTTGATGATCAGGGGCGAAAAGTGTTTCATCCAACTAAAATTAGTGATATGTTCGCAGAGTATTATAGTAAACTTTATAATTTAGAATGTAATTTGGACCTCCCCCAGTCTTCTACAACAATAATTGATAAATTCTTAGACAGAGTGTCATTGCCTCGGCTGTCTCCAGGACACTTAGAAAGATTAGAATGTGAAATATCAGCAGCAGAGATAGCTGAGGCAATTAAACTTATGCCATCTGGAAAAGCCCCTGGACCCGACGGATTTACTATTTTATATTATAAAACTTTTCCAGAAATTTTAATTCCCCATATGACTAAATTGTTCAATTCCTATAAGTCCGGGGGAAAGATGCCAGAGGAGTCCTTGTGCGCACGAATAGTCACTTTGCCAAAGCCGGGAAAAACTCCTGATAGATGCCCTAACTTTAGGCCCATTTCTCTGATTAATAATGATTCAAAGATTTATTCTAAAGCTCTCGCTAATAGATTAACCAAATTAATCCCATTGTTAACTAATAAGGATCAAGTAGGTTTTGTACAGAATAGACAGGCGCCAGACGGAACTAGAAGATTCATAAACTTGATTCAGCACATCAATATGACCAAAACGCCTTCTTTGCTTCTATCTTTAGACGCAGAAAAGGCATTTGTCAGGATACATTGGGGATATTTATGGAGAACATTAGACAGGTTCAACATACCATCATCCTTTATCACAGCAATTAAGGCGTTATATTGCGCACCCTCCGCCCATGTCTCAGCTTCTGGCTTCACATCCAAAACTTTTTCTCTAACCAACGGGACGAGACAAGGGTGCCCTTTATCTCCAATTTTGTTTGTCTTAGCAATAGAACCCGTGGCAGAACTGATTAGAACAACCCCACAAATTGTAGGAATTGCTGTTAAAGAATCCGTTAACAAAATTGGTTTGTTTGCAGACGATATAATCCTAGCTATCAAAAACCCAAAAGAATCTTTGAGACACCTCAAGGATATTTTAACTCAATTTGGTGAGATATCGTATTACAAATTAAATGAGTCCAAAACTCAAGCCCTCCCGTTTCATTTAAACAATTTGGAAACTATTGCCCTTAAGAAATCATATTTATATGATTGGAGAACTAAATATATGGAATATCTTGGCATTAATTTATGCAAAAATTTGGTCAATCTGCATAATCTCAATTTGAGGAAAGCATGGTCAGACCTACAAAAAGAGATGGAGAGATGGGGTGGGATGGAGCTCTCATGGCTGGGGAGGGTCGCATCTATTAAAATGACGATACTCCCCAAAATTTTATATATTTTTTTAGGACCATTCCTCTGTCCATTCCATTATCATTTTTTAATAAAGTCCACTCAACAATGTTGAAATTTATCTGGGGGAACAAGCCTGCCCGAAGTGAGGCTCACTTCCTTGCAGCACCATAAATCGAACGGCGGTATCGGTGTCCCCGATATCCGCAAATATTATTTCGCCACTAATGCTGCAGTGGTTGTGAGCTTTAACAATCAGGAAGATAAACCCAGATGGATGGAAATAGAAGAATCAAAAATTTCACCGGTTAGATTATCAGAATTACCTTGGTTAAATTCTAAGAGAAGACCTGGAATTACAAAATGATTTTTATCTACCAAGACTACTCTTAAGGCCTGGGACATTGTTTTTAAAAATGACCAGTCTCCCAGTTTATATAGAGCAATGCCTATTGAGTTATTGAAAGATTATATACCATCCTTAAAAATAAAACTGTTGAAGGATTGCTCTATAACTAATCTGGACAATTTTTTTTTTTATGGCAATGCTATTCTTTCTGTGGAAAAATTTAAGCTTAAGCATGGATTATCAAATGTATGTGAAATGGAATGTACGCTAATCATTGATAAATTGAAAGAACTATACCAGGTACCTGAAACAGATAAAAACTATAAATTACTTGAGTTATCTCCTTTAGAGAAAGTCTTTTTTTTTTTATACAGCCCCGCTAGTAAAGGTATGATATCCTTATGTTACTTATCTCATAATGCCAAGCCCTTAATTAAATTAAAACATATGCTGTCATGGGAGACGGAGTTGGGTGCCCAGTACGATTTAGAAGAATGGTTCAGCTTCTTTAAAGGTTTAAAAGGTATTTCGTATTGCACCGACCATTTTGAAAATCATTATAAAATCTTATATCGCTGGTACCTGGCTCCGTCTAGACTACATAATATGAACAATATGTATTCTGAACCGGTGTTGGAGAGACTGTGGGGGAGTGGGCAATATGGCCCATATCTGGTGGTTCTGCCCCAAGTTAATTAATTATTGGAAAATGATCCACGATCTGATTATTAAAGTGAACGGAACCATTAGTATCTTAACCTCGGAACTAGCCTTATTTAAAAAACTCCCGGAGTCCATTAATAGATCAGATAAAATAATCATAGGCCACATTCTGATCGCTGCTACATCCTGTTTACCTAGACATTGGAAGTCTCAAAATGTGCCATCTCTCAGAAGTTTTTAATTTGATTTTAGAAAATAAGGCTTCTTGGCTGAATTGTTTTCTCAGGATAAGTCACATAGGACTAAAACAAAAGCTTTAATCGAGCCTTAATTAGAGGGTGATCAATCTAGTGGTAGTAGGAGAAAATGGGGGGTAACCCCATATATATATATATATTAATATATCTCTCTAAACAACAAAAATTAAAAAAATATGTAGTAACAAAACACTACCAGTAGGTGTCACCATAGATTAGGAAAAAATATTTTTAATCGAAATTAAGTCTTTCTATGTCTATTAATAAAACTTAACTTTTAATATGTTAATACATAAAACAAGTGTGACAAGCAATATTAAAATAGGGTCAGTAGTCCCAAATCTGTCTGTAAGATACCCGTACAGATCCTATTTACAAAGTGGATCGAATAGTTTATTTAGCCAATATCAATCAAAATTGCTAAAGGAGATAATCAGTCCTGAGGTGCCTCCTTTAGTTATATGAAGCAGTTCCAATTATTACAGAGTTTAATTTAGGATGCAATCCTCATACTGTTTTATTTAGCAGTTACACAGCAGCAGACAGACTTTTCTCTGTGCTGTTAATAAAGATCCATTTCTCAGTCTTTGATTTATAAAGTATCTGTCAGGTTGGTTCTAAATAGACCTGAATCTCTTCCATAGAATAGCGCAGACAGATCAGGAAAATGTATCTGTGAAAGAAAAACGGGTTTTATTCTATAGAACAGACCTGCTGTATCTCTGAGCTCCTATTGTATAGTTAACGTTGTAAGAAGCAACACAAGGTACTTAGATCAGTGAGCTAATGCTTATCTTTTAGCTGGTCTGTAGTTCTTTAGGGAAAAGATTCTTATCTCATGTGCCTTCGAGGGCCCCCCTTAATAAAAAACCTGTCTATTCTGTCTATTGCCCACCACTCAAATCTTAGGACTGCTAGATCCCTAAAAATGTGCAGGACGTCTATACACCAGGTCAGTATTCTGTCAGTGCAGATCTTGGCAATTACCGATTTAGATGTCCTGAGCCCCTGACGCACGCGTTTCGCCAGGATCGCTCATCAGAGGGGAACTGAAGACAGGTAAGTGTCTGCTTTTTAAATGAGCAACTCATCGATGGTTGGCTGAGCACTTTGTCCAGCCTGCCAATCATGAGAGAGGAGGGAGTCCTCTTATGTGCAAACTATTTAACCCTTAGGTTGCTTATCTAATATATGAAAAAAAACAAAAAACCTCTTATGGAGTGAATGTTAATAATTCCTATCTAATACGTATGTTATGTTGTGATCGCATCTATGTCAGTGTATTTAAACTACAGTAAGAAAAAAGTTTAACCCATTCAAACCCAGTTTCTATTTAACCCCTTAAGGACCAAACTTCTGGAATAAAAGGGAATCATGACATGTCACACATGTCATGTGTCCTTAAGGGGTTAAACAACATTAGCTAGGATTCGGCAGTAACTACACTTTTTTTAGTTCTCCAAAAGGATGATTTGTATCTCTATATTGATTCATTACAAAAATATATAGTGTGTGCCACAATTGTACTGAAAGGGAGCTTTAATCTCCCTATATCGTCTACTGTGAATATTTTTGATTGAATAGATAAAGCTGTAGCTATTTAGTGAATTTTATTCAAACTTATTCTCTGGACCTTCAGACCAACGTATATATTGTTATAAAAATGTGGAACTTTTATATTGTTATAAAAACGAGGAATATACCAGATGTGAGAATTGTTCTATTTAAATTCAATTAAGTGGACATTCCGTGTTACCAGTAAGATATCCAGTGTATTCCTATTAATATGGTTATTTCTTAACAATGTGCTTCTGAAAATTATTTAATGAAAATAAGGCAATTCATTTTTTCCCCCCCTCCTTCCAACCGTTAGTAAAGGAAATTAATTATGAATAAAGGGGGTAAAATTGAACTCCTTATTAAGGCCCTGGGAAGACAGAGTCTTAAATTGATGAATCCATCTGGATTGTTTTTTGAGTAAAGTTAAATTAAAATTCCCTTTTCTGGTATTTACATGAACTCGTTCTAGTATTTGAAAAGTAAGGTTCGACGGATCAGCATTATGGAAGTTTCTGACATGATTGGCGACCGGTGTGGAGATGTTATGGTTTTTCACGGAATTAATATTTTCAAGGATTCTTCTCCTGAATTCCTGGTACGTCTTTCCTATGTACTGGAGCTTGCAACTGCATGTTATTACAGAAACAACTTGTTGTGCTGCAGTTTGTAAAATCTTTTATAGTATAGATTTTCTTTGTATTACTGCATTCAACATCTTTAAATGGTGTAATAAATTGGCAAGCTTTACAACGTCCACATCTGTATAGACCCTTTGTTGGTTTGAGCCATGTTTTTGGTGATTGTGTAGATTCCAAGTGACTATGCACTTGAAGGTCACGTAAGTTTTGTGGTCGTCGAGGAGTAATGCTAGGAAACTGTTGGATGCTACTTACTACATCTTTATCGTGAGTTAAAATGGGCCAGTTGTCCGAAAAGATTTTAGGACCCGGTTCCAGAACTGATCGTAAGTTCCTATGCATCTAATAATTTGTTTTTGGGTTGAGTTCTTTGGTTCCTGAGGCATGTTGTCCTATCCATTTTTAAGACCCTTTGAAAAGCCTGTTTCAAAATCCTGTTGGGATAACCTTGTTGTTTGAAACGCTTCCTCAAGAAAGATTTCCTCATTTGAACAGTTTCTTTTGGCTCTCAAGTATTGTACAAACAGAATTCCCGCCTTCAACTTATATGGGTGGTGGCTCTGCCAGTTCAAGAGGTTATTACAAAACGTGGGCTTTCTGTATAGTTCCGTCTCGATTTCGCCTCCTGGTGCCAATCTAATGGTAAGGACAAGGAATTCCAAGTGATCCTCTCTGATTATATGGGTGAGTTTTAAGCCAATGTCGTTTATATTGAGTTGGGATACCAGTTCTTCAAATATAGAGATTGGGCCTGTCCAGACTACCAGGATATCATCTATGTACTGATGCCAACTACGGATGTATTGTTTATACCCTGTAGTTGTTGTTTCAATCAGTATAGTGGTTTCCCACTATGCCAGGTTTAAATTTGTGCAGCTAGGGGCACGTGCCGTTCCAATGGCTGTGCCCCTAGTTTGAAGGTAGTACTCACCATTAAACACAAAAAAAGTTGTGAGTGAGTATAAACTCCAACAATTCAATAAGGAACTTTTTCTGTGTTTTTTCCAGAAAATTTGTCGTAGCTCTTAAACTGACATCATGTGGTATATTGTTATACAGCGAGACCATGTCAATGCTGGCAATAAATGTATATGGAGGAGGTACTATCAGGTTCTCTAACAGTATTATTATTATTATTATTATTATTGCCATTTATATAGCGCCAACGGATTCCGTAGCGCTTTACAATATTTTGAGAGGGGGGGTGTAACAATAAATAGGACAATTACAAGAAAACTTACAGGAACAATAGGTTGAAGAGGACCCTGCTCAAACGAGCTTACAGACTATTGGAGGAGGGGTATTTGAAACATTAGGACAAGAAATATCAAGTAGGAGTGAAGCAGAGCTGGAGGAGAGAGCAAAGCACTGTCCCATAGGAGAGAGCAAGAGACTGGTATGTAAGGTAGAGATTACTCTGGGAGGCCATAAGCTTTCCTGAAGAGATGGGTTTTAAGGCCCTTCTTAAATGATTGAAGACTAGGGGAGAGTCTGATGGCAGTAGGCAAGCTATTCCATAGGAGAGGAGCCGTCCGCGAGAGGTCCTGCAAGCGCGAGTTGGCCGTACGGGTGCGAGCAGCGGTCAGGAGGTGGTCACGGGCAGAGCGGAGGGTACGTGGAGGGGCATATTTATGGATCAGTGAAGAGATATAAGCGGGGCTAGAACTGTTCAGTGCTTTAAATGTATGGGTTAGCACTTTGAATTGACTCCTATAGCATACAGGGAGCCAATGTAAGGACCGGCAGAGGGGTGAGGTGTGAGAGGACCGACTAGAGAGGAAAATCAGTCTAGCTGCAGCATTCATTACAGACTGTAGCGGGGCAATACGGCTTTTGGGGAGACCAATCAGGAGAGGGTTACAGTAATCCATGCGGGAAATTACTAGAGCATGGACAAGCTCCTTGGTAGCATCTTGCGTAAGAAAGGGGCGAATGCGGGCTATGTTTTTGAGTTGAAACCTACAGGACTTGGCAACAAACTGGATGTGAGACTCAAAGGTGAGGCCAGAGTCAAGTATGACGCCAAGACAGCGCGCTTGCAGGGATGGACTTATGTGGATATCACTGACTTGAAGGGAGAGCGAGAGAGGAGGATCAGTATTAGGAGGAGGAAAGACAAGGAGTTCAGTTTTAGAGAGGTTAAGTTTCAGAAAGCGTGAAGACATCCAGTCAGAGATGGAAGAAAGGCAAGCAGTGACACGTTGCAGGACAGCAGGGGAGAGGTCCGGGGAGGAGAGGTATATCTGAGTGTCATCAGCGTACAGGTGGTAGTGGAATCCAAAAGAGGCAATCAGTTTACCAAGAGAGGCGGTATAAAGAGAAAATAGAAGGGGACCAAGGACAGACCCTTGGGGAACTCCAACAGAGACAGGACGAGTGGAGGAGGTATCCTTGGAAAAGGAGACACTGAATGAGCGTTGGGAGAGATAGGAGGAAAACCAAGAGAGGACCGAGTCACAGAGACCGAGCGATTGAAGAGTTTGAAGGAGGAGAGCATGATCAACGGTGTCAAAGGCAGCAGAGAGGTCAAGGAGAATTAATATGGAGTAATGACCTTTGGATTTAGCGGAGATTAGGTCATTAGTCACTTTGATAAGAGCAGTCTCAGTAGAGTGGAGAGGGCGGAAGCCAGACTGAAGAGGGTCAAGGAGAGAGTTGGAATTAAGGAAGCGGGACACACGGGTAAAGACAAGCCTTTCCAAAAGCTTTGATGAGAAAGGGAGCAGGGATATGGGACGATAGTTAGAAGGGGAGGATGGGTCAAGAGATGTTTTTTTTTCAGGATAGGCATTACAGTGGCATGTTTAAGGTCAGCAGGAACAGTGCAAGAAGAGAGAGAGCAGTTAAAGATGTGTGTTAGGTTAGGCACAAGACAAGGGGAGAGAGATCTGATGAGGTGAGATGGGACAGGATCGAGCGGGCAAGTGGTGGGGCGAGAGGAATGGAGAAGCGCAGCCACCTCTTGTTCAGTAGCTGGGTAGAAAGTCTGGAGGGTAGGGAAAGCAAGATTTACATGTGGTTGAGAAAGAGAACGGCAAGGAGGGGAGAATTGTTTCCTTAGCTGTTCAATCTTGTCGGTAAAGTAGCATGCAAAGCTATCAGCTGTAAGGTTAGTTTGGGGGGTGGCCACAGCAGGGCGGAGAAGGGAATTAAAGGTGTCAAAGAGGCGTCTGGGATTGCGGGAGCATGAACTAATGAGAGAGGAAAAGTATGACTGTTTGGCGAGGGCGAGGGCTGCGCTGTATGAAAGCAACATGAATCTATAATGGAGAAAGTCTGCCTGGGTGCGGGACTTCCTC